AATTTTTTGTCTGCTAAACACAAAATTATTAATTAGTATATTAAAATATTAATTTATATATTTGAATATTACTTTTTATTTACATATTAGTAATTAGCAATATTTAAATTCTTTAAGTTTAAAATCTCTGTTTCTATAATTTTTTTGAAAAATTATGAAATCTAAATAACAATAATTATTTTTTTTGGAAATTATTATGTTATTTTACATGCTAGTAGCTTTTCAAAAATATTTTATTTTAATTTTCGTCTTTATTGCTTATTATATGCACGGTACGAATTGGAGGACGTGATTAAAATGTACTGAAAACCAACATACTCCACAGTGGATGATTTATTGCTATGTACTTAAATTAATATAAATTGACCTACATATAAATTCCACTTTAAAACAAAAACTTGAATTATATTTATCTGCAGGGCCGAAGTTTGGCATAAGCAATATAAGCAGTTGCTTCAAAAGCCAGCAAAGGCCTCAAAGGTTCCATACAACTAATTTCATACAAGTATTAAATTGACGGAAAAAATTAAGAAAGGCCCTCTTTAAAGCCAGTGCTTACGGGCCCCCTACAATCTAAATCCGGTCTTGTTTATCTGGTTTGTATAGATACATCACACGCAAAAAGGAAATGCCATTAACATATAATTAATGTATCAACAACATTATTTGGTTTTTATGTATTGCAATTAAAAACAATGTAGAATAGATTTGTATTGAATATTAAACAACTTAATACATTACTTAACAACTTTATAACAATACAATTTTATATTCCTAATATGCTCTATAATTTTCAGTAGACTTATCGGTTTTGGAACTCCACCTTTCAAGTGCAATTTTTATGTGGTTTCGAAAAACGTTAATATAAGCTCTTAAAGGTTACAGACAATAAAAATTATAATACCATTTAATAGGGGGCGGTATCTAGTATATAAATTTTTTATTTTGTATTTTTTGCTAAGAGTTAACTTACAAAAACAAGATATATCAGTTTTGTTGTCTTTCTTTGAAAATCAACGTTATGTTGTTGCTGTTAAATCAACAGTATTCTAGATTTGAAATAACTTTTTAAGATAGGTTTAAAGAAATTTAAATTTATATTTTTGGATAGTAAAATTTTTAATACGTTATTCTTCTTCAATATTTAATTTATGTTATTATTTTCAAGCAAAAGAAATAAAGAGATATTACTTACTGTTTGCTATTAACATATGTGCGGATACCAGTCCAAAACATATCAGGAGTTATCAAATGGTACAACATGCGCCATATATTGGATGCTGAAAGAATTAAAATTATAATGTGCTTGTTAAGTACTTTGAAATACATATTTTTGTAAAGTTAAGATATATTTCTTTTATAATGAAATTTATGTATGTCAGTACATTGTATTTTAAATCGTGTGTAGATCAATTTTTTATTTATTTTTTATTAAAATTTGAAAAGTTGAATGTTATTCAACAGTATTATTTAATTATATTTATTTTAATCTTTTGTAGGATTTTACTTATATTTTGCAAACTTACGTTTTATATAATCTACAATATAATTAAGTGAATTCTTTTCATATTCATTAGAAGAAGTAGCAAAGAGAAAGGATTCCCGTTGTGTTTCGACAATAAATAAATTCATTATGTCATAATCTTGAGAAATCTGAAAAATTTTAAATAATGAGATAAATATTTAGTCAACAAATTACAATTTTAAGCAATACAGCACGACTGATCGTTGCAAATAAACTCTTTTTATCATAAATTATATTGTTTACTAAATAGTTATTAACGAAAAAAGTTTAATGAATACAACGTAACTTTTTAACATTTACGTATATCATACATAACAAACTCTTAACAAATTTATTTATTTAAACGTGGTAAATTGATGTATGTATTTAGTCGTCACTCTATGTTTAAAAGCTTTGAACAATATAAAGTTATTAACAATTAGTACTTCAAATAAATATTCCTCTAATTTTTCTTGCGCAGAAGTTTTGACGAAAGGTCATATGCTGTCATAAAGTAGCAAATCTTTTCCTTTTACTTGTGTTATAAGAGTAATATAAAGTACGCAATTTCTGTTATAATTCATAGCGTCATATGTTGCTACATGCATTTCTTTATTTGGCATACAATAATGAAAATCTTATCATATATTTGTATTAAATGCAAAACGAGGTATTATGTGCTTTCGGTGTCAAAAAATAACGTATATGCACACATATACACATACACATTAAAGATCATTATCACTTGTTTTACAATGCAGGAATAATTATTACAAACAAATTCAAGAATAAGAGAGGAAAAGTCTCTACACTAAACTATTCTCCAAAAGATATTGGAGAGTTGGGAGTAGGGGATAAGATTTTCATCAGAATGCAGAAAGAGGGAGGCAAAGCTTTTTTCCTGCCACGCGTTCTGTTTACCATGTTTAAATAAATAAATCTGCTAAGAATAAAAGTTCATTTTACTAAATATAGATGGTGTCATAAAATTACGATCTATTCAGTAAACTTCTTTTCTTAACAACTTTTTAATAAATAATGAGTGACGAAAACGTTTTTCTTGTTACTTAGAACAATTGGCTTTGGTAACGTATGTCAAAGTCAAGACAATTGGCTCTGATTGTGCAAATGTTTATCAAATGTAGTATATCAATAATAAGAATAAAATAAACCTGATATAAAATATACGTTGCAAGCAATCTGATAAAACCTGTTTTCGACCACAGCAACACATCACTATACCAAAGAGATACTATTTGATATGTTATTAAGTATGACACTTTCAATTTACGCCCAATGGGATCTGAGTCTTCGTCGCGAATAATATCAGCTTCTCTAAAAAATGTTTTCAAATATGAAAAGTCCGTCGACAATGTTTGCGGTAAATAAACTGTTTAATAGGTTTCTTTCTCTATTTTGTGGATATAACAAATTATTACAAAGTTACGAATAAACCTTTTTGTTTTTTATAACTGTTTTTGGCAAAAAATGTATTGAAGATTTTTTTAGCTTAATCTCATAACAAGTAGAAATAAAGTGACTTTTGAAAATTTTGTGCTATTGTGTCACTTTTTTAACAATGTAATTTATTTTACTTATGAAACAACGTAATATTATCTATACGTTTATTTATACAGTCACATACAGATTTTATTTCAAAAGCTAGAAAAAAGAAATTTTGTACATTTTTCATAAATAACTTCACGGATAAAAAAGAACGTTGGATTTTAAAAGACAAGAACTTTGATAAATTTCGACAAAATAACTGATATAATAAAAGCTCTTATTGCAGTCGCTTTATATGTACAACTTATAGCACACAGTCATTTTTCATGCTTCTAAAGCTAAAATAAAATCTGAATTGACGAAAAAAATGATTATTTTTAATTTTAATCTAAACTAAAAGTAATGATATTTTCTTACTGTGACGCAAGTGAAATTGTATAGATTTCAACTATTTTTTAATTTATACATTATGACATAAAAATATGTTTATCTTTCAGTTTTGAAATTATATTATTAGATAGTTTTACATTTATTATTTAATAATCATTTTTGATCAATTTATTTTAATTTTGAATATTACCTGTGTAAAATTAGTCCCCATGTCTCAGTGGTATTGTGTTGATTATCCCATAATGCAACATAGTCTATTTTTGGTAATTTGTCTATAGTATTTTCACGTTTTAAAAAGTATAGAACTTGTTGGGCAATACATTCCGCTAAATGTAAATAGCCTGTAATGTTTTTTCTACCCCAAAATGTGACGTTTGCAACCAAAGTATGAATTTTAGTGAATGAAGTTATTACAACCTTTACATGTTCGATAAATATTGAAGATGATTTCTCAAAATGTGTCCACATCATGTCATATTCAAGTTTGTCATTTTCTGTTGCTTGTATAGGCATATTTGACAAAGCTGTGTAATTTTTATGATGCTTGATGGAAATTTTATAGGTGGCATTAAATGCTATCTTATCCCAGCATGGGAATAGTTGTTGAGCAGTCATTACATCAACACCTGTCGCATTTAACCTATCATATTTTAACAATATGGTAAATATAAAATTTTTAATATAATTATACTCAATAATCGACTAAGGATAAACTATGAAGGATAGACTAGAAGTGTTGGATTTCATAAAAGTTGAATCATAATTTATAACGCTGTACGGAATGTTGCAAATATACCATTTTGACAAATATTTCTACATCTTAAAATCAACAAATTTGAAATGCAGTGTTGAATTCATTTGAGTACTATTATGTCTATTTTATGTAATATGCAATTTTTGGAATGTTCTCTTTATAAATGTTTTTATAAATGTTTTTAATAAATATATTTTGAAAAGGATATTAGCGAAAACAATCTGTATAGTATAATTTTGTTTCAAATATTTTTTTACTTACATATTATCCGGAGTTTCATTAGAGTATGAAAATGCAGTGATGTATTTCTTGTCATTATTTATGTGACGCATATATGCCATTATTAGAGTGTATCTTCCAGGTGATAAAAATTTTGGTAAGTTTGGCATATTGGTAAAATCAATCGTAAGCATGTTTTGTTCATGAATAAATGAATAATTTGGAAGATAAATTTTCTCATTAAGAAGATCTTTATACAGAGCAATTTTAAATATAGCGAAGGTCACTGGATGCATAGATATGTTTTTCGTTTGACGATTAATATATATAGTTATATTACATTCACCAATAATGTCATTTGTTTCGTAACTAAATCTTATATTGGCATCATAATGCAATGGTATTAGTGGTATAGAGTCCGGGAAATAAACTCCAGTGTCATTTCCGGTATTGATAGTAGTATTATTTTCGGTATTGATAACAGTGTCATTTTCGGTATTAATAGTTACAATAGTACAAAGTACTATTGTAGCGATTATTATTTGGCCATTTGTTAAAGGCTTTCGGAATATCATATTTAGTTTTCTTTATATGAAAAGTTTCTGAAAAAATATTTGTTAGAAATAAAATATATACAAAATAAATCATTACAAACAAGCTGCAGAGCCAGAGCTAGTTAGGCATGCTCAGTTTATTACTTTATATCACATTAACAATAAAAATAGACGTTTCGACTTTGTTGAGATTAATGCTCAATGACCTGGAGGTTTACTGTATTGGTATTAAGTATGACTTCGAAAATATGATTTCAACTACCCTTTAAATGTTTTCGAAAGAAACGTTTTATAGGACTAATTTATTGTAATATAATCTAGAAAATAGTTTTTTTTTTATTTTTTTAATAATTGTACTGAAGATGACCACACCCGTATGATCGAAACGTCTATTTTATTGTTAATGTGATATAAAGTAATAAACTGAGCATGCCTAACTAGCTCTGGCTCTGCAGCTTGTTTGTAACGATTTATTTTGAATAATTCAAGCCAAAAAATTGTAATATCTTAATTATAATATATATATTTGCAATACATAGTTCTTAATTTTTATATAACAGAAAAAAGTATATAATAACGATTAAAGTAACTTACACTGAAAAAATACAATATATGAGAAAAAACCATGATATACTGACAATGAGAGCAAAGTGTGATATTTTGAACAATAATTGTGCGATATTATAATTATAGTTACGGCACTTAATTTTATAGGAATCGTTAATATAATGTTAGCAATATATTTTTATATGTATAGTATATTGCCAAAGATATAAGCAATCATGCAGTTAGAACATTTAGAAAAACATGGTAGACACCAAATAACGCTATTGATTATGGTTACTGCTATTATTCTTTTCTTTCAGTGTAAGGTATAATAAAAGAAACGTGAAAAAATAAAATTAATAAAATATTTCTGACAGTTTTTGGAAAGATAGTAATATTGTTTGCATATATATAAATAATTTCATAGAATATTATCAAAACATGTGTTAAATACTTAAACATATTAAAACATATTAAATATTTAAAAATGCTTTTTGCAATACAAAATTATAAAAAAAGACGAAATTATAACTTAAAGTAATTCGCTAGTAATCCGAGAAACATTAAAATGTTAAAATATTATATTTATTATCAGTTATGATATACATTCTCAAATACATGTAAGCAAGCTGTGCGCGCACACATACACAGTTAATTATTTGCACTTTGCAGTAATGATAATTAATTATTACACATGAAAAGACTTATGTTGTACAGAATAAAAAATGACAGAGTAAAAAAAGTTAGTGATACAGTTACTTATGCAGAAAGAGATTTGAGAAAATAAAGTTGTATTTATCATGCTTTATAAATTTTTCTATGTTCTGAATTAGAAATATTTTGTTTCTGGTCACTTACCTACATGTGTATATTAAATAAGTCAATTAAAATGCAATGCTACGTAAAAACTTACAATCTTGTAAGAATAATACAGTTAATACACACAAATTGTGAATGCCAAAAGTATATAAATCAAATGCGATTCCGTTTGCACCGAGAAGTCTCCGAATACTAAGAAGGATATTTGTAATTGATATAATATATATGTCTCACAAATAGGCTAAGAGGTCATTCAACAGGAAAACACTTTACTAGTCGATAGATGATATTCAATTTGGATGCAGCAGATATAACTTCGATAGCTCGTTTTTCCTCGATATACATACGATTGTGTGTCACAATAACGAAGATCGAGTAATTTGTCAAATTTATTTAACTTTTTTAGTGCATTTCTTCAGGATACATCATATAATAATACTTTTATGTATATATCGTTATTGTGACATGATCGCCTCTACAAATTTAAATGCACAAATAATTTCTATATAAATTTTATCAGTATGTATATCGAAGAAAACGAGCTATCGAAGTTATATCTGCAGCCTCCAAATTGAATATCATTTATCACACACACATACTGTCAAACATTAATTTCAATGAAGAGATAAAGTAAAGCGAAAAAAAGCAACATACATTACGAATATGAAGAGTATCTGAAAATTTATCATTCGTAATAATTAATACATAATATTTATTTTTCTTAACTGTTAAATTTTGAATGGGTCCAAGTGCTTTGATGAGAAAAATAGATCTGTAATGGATAAAACAAATTTGTCTCTTCCGTCAATCGGTGCAATCAGCATGGAAAAATTTTCAAGTACATTAATTAACACTCAAAAGAATTCAAGTGTCGAAAGGTATGATTCATCACTAACACAGATTGAAGCAGTTCGACAATTCGGACATGCCTCATGGAGAGAGAGAGAGAAATATAGAAATCCTTATAGTGTTTCTATTAATCACACGCATTATGAAAAATCCATTAACGTATCAGGTAAAAGCACATCCACAATTGTAATAACAATAACAGATAGTAATAATTTTTTAAATTATTTTTTAAAACTTTATTACTCGATATTAAGATTTTAATAATAAATAAGATGTATTACTTAAATAATTATAACCGATTTTTTTAAGTTCATTATTCAACTTAATCAATAAATTACACTTCATTAATTATTATGTAAAGTATACTTAACAATTCGAAGACAACATTGTTACGCAACAAACATATAATTAAAATATGCAGACAGTGCAGATTAGAACAAATCGCATATAGTTGACATAATGCATTTAAAACGATATTTATAAAAAAACCGAAAGCACAATTGAATCATGTTGTAACATTGTAGAGAATGACGTTCTTAGAGAGGATGAACCTCAGGAGGGAAGAACGGAGCAAAGCATTTTTACCGATTGTCGAGAATATTTAGCTAATTATCAGGAATCATACGATACGCCACGTACTGAATATTCATTTGCTGCCTTAATTATAGTAATGGTTCAGGCTACCGCACGATCTCTGTGGGCTTTGATACACGTAATCATTAATGTCGTCCCCATTATCCAAGTAATTGCACAGATGTTTCTAAACTCTTCTCCGGAAAAACAAAAATAAAGAACAAACGTATCTTAAAATCTGAATTCCAGATGTTTCCCTTCATCTTAAGATTTGTGTTAGACAAAGTGATGAGCATACGCAGAACCAAGGATCTTCAACAGAAAATGGTGAAATTCGCGATACTGGCTGTGCAATTGCTCAGCGTATACATTTGCCTTATATCTATATTCGATTTCATCGTTTTTCCAATTGTACAAATGGCAGTAGGTATCGCGGTTAAATTTGTAACACGCGATTAAATTGCAATATTATAAAACATATCCTTGTCGTCCTTTAATTTTGAATTGATCCTCTTTTATACAAATATATGAGTATGTATGATATATAATCATGTTTTCTTATAAAACTATCAATATATTTTCGATATTTTTAAGAGAATTCACGAATTTGTTACGAGGATGTTTAAAAGGCAATGAAATAACGTGGTGCTCAATAAACGAAAGCTAGCATGATCGAGAACAATAAGAGAGCGAGAGTGCTTGGTGCAACAGTCTGACTCGCCACGCCCCATCCACATTCCAGTTCCGTTTTCAATGTGTTCGACAATGATGCGTTGTTCTTGTTCAAGCAGAACGTCTCGCGGATGTCATCATCCCAGCCGTTGTCCCAGCAATTAAATTCGTCGCCTTCTTCGCGTTCAAAGTTTTTGAATTCGCTGTAAGAGGTACACCGGTCCTCCTGATACTGTCTATGCTTTCTTTGCCATACTTCGATCCATCTGTGTAAAAAAAAAAAAAAGACGTTTAGCTTTCGTTAGTTTGGATTAATGAATATATCGTAAAGAAAGAATTGCATGTATTAAAAAGTTACAAAAGTGAATTTTAAAATAAAATAAGGAATTTGAATAATTTTAAAATCAATGCTAATAATAATTGTATTATATTAAAATTCACTTTGACATTCATTCTGCAAATCTGTATTGTCGTCAGCGTTTAAGTTCTTCCACTAAATTAATCGTACCCGATATCGCAATCGCAGTTGAGGTAATTGCCCGCTAATCGGAGCTTCATCAAAAACCGTTTTCCCGGCACTCCGGGTTTAAAGCCAGACGACGGATTATGCAGTGTTCGAGTGCCGCTGTTGCGAATTTCCACGGTCACATTTCGCACTCGCTGCGCATTGCTAAATATCTCCCGCGGAATGGTCGCCACACTGGTGTTATATAATCCAAAATGAAGATGAGGATTTCGCACGCCCTAAAAAATTGCTTTCTTAATCTTTCTACTCTCAATTATATCAAACAATACTTTTATTGCAAAATTTGCAATGCATAGAGCAAGATTTTACAGTCATTCCGATTTGGAAAATTAATTTTTTCCAACTTTTGTTCGATTAACATTCATTGAGACACCTCTGGAAAACTTGATGGGAACGTGCTGATTAGAAACAAGCTGAAGATTGAGATAACTTACGCGCAGTATCTCCGGATGTATGCTCTTCAAAATTTTACCGGTCAACGTGATGTTGTACAGCTTGTAGGGCAGCTTCCCCCTCATTTCCTTCTCTAAATCAGTGTCGTTCTGAACCTGTCGCGATATTTGAATTCACTCTAAGTACAAGTCCAACTCTTATCTTATGATATTGATTCACATACACAGCGCTTACATCAATAAGCAAATGCTTCAGGCCGTGATTGTACTCCAGAATGTTAGGGAAATTGAAGTTCTTGATACCATTGTACGTGGTGATGCGCAACTTGCGGAGTTTTGTGGCCTTGCATAGCGCACCCGCCTGTAAGAACCGATCCGTGCTTCACGCTTCCGACAAAATACATCGCGAAAATGTAGCTGGAGACTCACCTCAAAGATTGACAGAGTGAGTCTTCGTATGTCCAGCTCCTCAAGACTGTCGGCCACGCCAAGGAAACTCGTGTTCGTGATGGCGGTGATGGGATTATCCGCCAGATTGAAGATCTTTAATTCCGGTAGTGTGTGAGTGATCAATGGCACCACTGTCAAATCGTTGTAACTTAAATCTAGATAGTGAAGAGACGTCAGATTCGACGACATTTCCGCAGGTATCGACGCCAACTCGTTATGCGCCAAGTACAAAGTTTGCAGTCGTCTCAGAGGCAGCTCTGGAACCTGAATCACATCGATTACTCGCTGCTCCGCGTGTCTCTCGCGTCGCTGATGAAATGCTTACACTCAAGAGAGAAATATTGCTCAGACTGAGATAAAGAAGCGTGTCCTCTAAACCGTAGAATGTTCTTCCGCGAGTTTCCAAGATGAGTTGCTTGTTGTGGCTCAGATCGAGATGAGTTAAGTGCGGTAGATCGGAAAATACACCGTCGTCCAGTCTAACAAGTCGGTTGTACGACAGATCTAGCCATACGAGACCCTGTAAAAATATATAAATACGTTGTGCAATTATTTTGCGATACTAGCTAAGTAACTTTGTACAAAACTCCAGTGAACGAAGTAGTTAATTACTGAAGATAACTGAGCGTGAAGATTTGGACTGAATCAAACTTACTCTGAGCCTGAAAATCGTGTCGGTACTATGGATTCCTGATAGGATATTCCAAGACATGTCCAAGTTCGCCAAGCTTGCGAGCGAGGTTAGCGACATACTTTTAATGGGGAGTCTTGTAAACTGATTATGCGAGAGATCAAGGCTTTCTATGTTGCAATCAATAAACATATTATCCGGCAGTGTTCTCAATTGATTATGCGACAAGTCTACGATGCGCAGCTTCTTCAAGGGCCTCAGAGCCTCTGCCGGGATGTCCGTAAGGTCGTTCCAGGAAAGAAGCAACACCTGCAGGTTCTTCGTATTTTTGAAGCAGTCAAAGTCCACCTCTGTCAAATCATTGTGTCTCAGGTCGAGCCACTGCAAGTGCGGCATGTTGCCGAAGACACCCTGGGTGACGTTCCTCAGTTGATTGTTCGACAAGTATAGATGAGTGAGCGAATACTCGACCGGTTTGAAGTAATACTTTATGATGTCGGAGATATTGTTATAGCTCAAATCTAGGACTTTGATGTTCGATTGCACGTTGCCGCCGACTAGAAATAGAGATTAAGAGAATTTGATTGATAATTTAAAAACAAAGATGAAATAATTAAATATAATATAATACTGGAGCACATCAAGCCGTCGCGGAAGTTGGTGCGAAAATTTTATTATTTTTCGTAAAAACTTATTCGTCTACATTGAGATGTGCTCCAGTATTGTATTACATTTGATAGTTATCATACGCTTTTCCCTTGTACGTATTGAGATAATTAAGTATTAAATTTGATCCATTTATTATTATTTTAGATCAAAGTTAAAGTTTCTTCTGAAAATTATAATATTGGAAACTCACTGACAGACGGGGAAGCAAAAATAGTGCTATTTATCCACAATCTCGAAATTTCATTGTGGCTAACGTTGACTTTGAATGATGACAGTGTGCCCACTTGATCGAAGGAAGCGAAATCGAATTCATTGAGCTTGTTGTATGCGAGATCGAGAAACTCAAGGTCTGGCAGATTCTGAAATATCACATACATTAATTCCAAATTAAATTCAATTAACTATCAATATTCATAGAATAATTTAACACTAAAAATAATATTAAATTTTGGTTATATAATTGAGTTTAATTAAGCCTAAAAAAATCTAATTAAATGTGGCAAATTTTATTCTAAACTTAAATCGTCTTCAATAAAGATTTACCTTCTGATTAATTTTCAAAATTTTAAACATGCAGTGCTGTCGCTATAAATTTCTTTGCTGAAGAATAATTATCTTTAAATTTCACGTTAATTGTACGGCTAAAAGAACATCCAAACGTCTTAGCGTACCATGTATAACGTCTGCCGTGAATCATATATTCGTATATGTATTAAATTACTTGAAAGGCTTCATCAGTGATGTCTCTAATCTTGTTGCCGCGTAAGTTGATATACTTAAGTCGGTTCATATTCATGAAGGTCCGCCTTTCAATTTTCTCGACGGCGTTGTCCTCCAGATTGATCGTCATCAGAGCTAACAGATCGACAAACGTGTGGGTTTGCAGGCCCCTCACTTGATTGAATGCAAAATTGATCTCTTCTAGCGTGGAATGGATGTCGCCCTGCGAATCGTACGATTCCCTTATCATATAAGACAAGCGATGTCGCAAAAATGGACGACTTACCTGAAAGGTCCCTTTTGGTATATTGTCGATTTCGTTATCTTGGAGCTCGATGCGCTTGATCCTCTTTAGGAAGTGGAACGACGTGGCGGGCAAGGAACGAATTTTGTTGTTACTGAAGTCGAGATATTGTAGATTCGTCAGCGATTTAAGCGGCCGGCTTGGTATTTCGGAAATCGAAGAGGATAAGCCATGAGACATCCTCAACGTCAATAAAGAATGACCCACCTGTACGCAAGGAAAAACATGTTTATTGCAAATTTTATTTTCTGTTATTTTAAGTTAGATTTTAGAAAACAACCTTTGGATAAAATGGAATAGAGAAATAAGAATCTACCTCTGAGAAAGCATCGTCGTCTATCGTCGATATCGAATTTTCGGAGAAATCAAGATACTTGATTCCGCGAACGTGCGTGAAAGCGTGATTCTTGATGGCGTTCAAATTACTATGAATTATCCGCAGCTCCTTGATGTCCATGCCGAATTCATGAAAGTCATTCGGCGACAAAGTCGGCTGCGGCATTCTAGAGATTGAAAGGAAGCGCAGGTTTCTCATTTGTCGTAGATCTTGAAGGGATATCAGGCTGTTCTGCTTGCCGCTGAGATCCAAGTTGTATAAGGAATACTGGAAGCCGTTGAAGACCTCGGCTGAAAGCACGCATTACAAGAATAATACCCTGCTTCAGGCAGTCGATCGTGAAACGCGAGATTGTAAGTTATCATTTACTTGGCGGAAACGTGTCGATGCGATTCTCGCGGAAGACGAGCGTACGCAGGAAGTCGAACTCCTGGAACAGCCGGTTGGGCAGGGCGGTTATGTTGTTACCCGAGACGTCCAACAACTCGAGCGACGACTCCAAGCCGGCGAAGTTCACCGAGTTGACCTCCAGCAGATCGCAGTCGCTCAAGTACAGCTCGCGAATGCGCGAGTCTCTGAACGCGCCCTCCTTTAATCGCGCACATACATTCGATTATCAATCGCTATCGTCTAAATAGTTTACGTGTCTTCTACAAGCTTACGCTGTTTAGCATCGATTTGGAGCTTTGCTTCGATATCGTACCTCGATCACCGTCAGAGGATTGCCGCTGAGATACGTGCGATTGACTTTGAAAAAGTGTCGAAAATCACCGGGCGCCAGAGTCTCGATCTGATTGTAGTCCAGCTGCAGCACATCCAAGGACATCTGCACGCCCATGATCTCGGGCTCTTGTTGAGCCTGCAGCATCTTCGAGATCCTGTTGTAGCTGAGATTGAGGATCTTCATGCGCTTCAACTGGGACAGCTGGGCGTACGGCACGTGCGTCAGCTGGTTGTCATTTAGGTAAAGGTGTGTCAAGTGGGCCATCCCGTCTCTGAACACCGACGGATCGATCTCCTTCAGGTTGTTCTCCCGCAGATCGAGGACCTCTAGATACGCGAGACCAGCGAAGGCGTCGGCCGGCAGCTTTTCGATCGCGTTGCGACCGAGACGTAGAGTCTGCAGTGAGTTTTCCAAGCCGCGCCAATTCTCCGGAGCGACGCGGGAGATCTTGTTGCCTGTGCAAAATGGCGTGAACATCGAAGAAGTTTTAGAAAAGTTTTAAGAAAGTTTTACTGTTTGATATAATATTAAAACTATAACAAATAGTAAAATTCTTTGGTACTTTGTATTAAATTATCACAAATCTTGGCAAATATTTTGACTGCTAAGAAATTTAAAAAATTTCAAAATTATTAGAAATGTTAGTAAAGATCTCTGTGACATGCCTTTAAGTTAATGCAGCTGCATAGTTAATTTGATCCGATTGTTGAGAGTGAATTACCTGTGAGTTCGAGAAGCCGCAGCTTTTGCAGATGTCTGAAGGATTTGCTCGGTACATTCGCGAGTTGATTATAGGACAAATCGAGCTCCCATAATGATCTCTCGAGACCTACAAAGGCTTCGTCTGGAATGTCCGCCAGAGGATTATGCTTGATCTGCAGCTTGTAGAGACCTAAAAATGCATAACAATTATGTACGTCAGCGTCCTGGATTCATTATAATTTATTTGTAGTTCAAAATTGGTATTTGTAACTAAAAACATGTATCAAAAAATTGACGTTTTAATGATTAAAGAATCTGCTTAAACCCATACAGCACACAAAGATTGCATACACATTGCATCAATCTTTCATCGCAATGTTGCAATATTGCAAATTCACTGCAAAATGTTGTTGCATCATTGCTGTGGGATTGCAGCAACGTTAAAATGTCCGCTTTTAGGAAGATTGTAACGAAATATTACAGTAATATTGCAATGTAATGAATTTGCAATAATGCATTGTTATTGCAATCTTAGAATAATGTTGCATATATTTTTATTTATTCGGACATTTATCTGTCCGATTTTTGAATCAGTTCAATATCTGAATTCCCTGTGTTGAGGTCGTATCGGAAAATTAAACTGATAAAAATAATTACTATGTCTTTAATCTTACTAGCCACTCTTTGCAAATTTCATATAATCATCATGACTAAAACTTAAATACGAAATAGATTTTGCAACGCGCGTTGCATAGCGGTAAACGAACGAACTAGCGATTACCGAATATTGCTATTGCAATGTTATTGGAATGTTGCTGTCACATTCTCATGAAATATTACAATTACAGGTTGCAATAATGTCTCAACAATATTACATTGCAACTTGAAAGATTGTAACATTGCTGCAATGTAATTGCAATGTTCTGTGCTGTATGGGAATAGAAAAATATCAAAAAATAAAAATAAAAAATCTTTCTCTTTTTCTTTATCACTTAAAATTAGTTCTTAGCGATAAAAGATCAGGTATATACAAGTTTTTCACAATTCTCCACTTTATCATTGCTTTAATTCAGCCACACACCTGTGTTCATGAAGTACTGCGGCTGCAGAAATCTGAGTCCATTGTTCTCCAGCTGCAGCATGAACACTTTGGACGAGTTAATCGGTTGTGGTATTCGCGGCATCGGCACATTGTAGCATGCCACGATGCCCAGATCCGGTATAGCCTTCGAGCAAGTGCAGAGCGGATTGAAGAAGCACGGCGGATATTGGACCGGCAGCTCGTGCATCCGCACCACGGACGCCCACATCATCAGCAGCAGAGTGATTATCAGCATGGCGTAGGCGACCTTCACCAAAGTAAAGAGCTTCTGCAAATCGTCGATGTTGCATCAAAGGTGCATCGGATTCGCTTCAAAGCGCGACACGCGACGAAGAAAAATAAATGTCTTGAGTGTAGTTATGATTTCCATCAAATGTAAAAGTGATGTGAGCGTAAATATGTAGAATGTATTGACGTACCGCTTTTAGTGTGCCAAATCAATTACTTTACCCTTCCTATTTTCCTCGTAAATCATTGATTAAGCGAATAATTATCACCACTTTGGACATTTGCGTTCTTATCGATATTTCGTAATTTTGCCATCGTTTTTATTTTGAACAAATCTTCTCCAAAATGGGAAGAGAAAAAGCAAATTCTAGAATTTATCGATTTTCGACAGAAAAACGCCATGTTTTTCAGCTTATCACTCATAAAATAGGCTATGATACTTTGCGTCTTAATAATCATTATTTCTCGTGAAATAGTAAAGTAAATAAATAGAAGTTCTCGATAGTTGCGGTAGGAAGATCGTATTTGAAACAATAATCGACAGATTTTACCATACTCTTTTGGCTCCGTGAGATTTCTGCGCACTGCGTTCTGCAAGGGTGATCCTGAACAACAAAACAGCGACTGTTCGCGGGAGTTGAACGTTGCTCATGCAATAAGGCTTCGCGTGTGCGCTGACAGTCTCGGTGCTTCTCTTTACTCAATTAGAAACAGGATATTCCATTAGGCGGCGATCGAATAAAGCTATTCGCACAAAGCCATTTAACTCGTCGCGGTCAGTAATTATATTTGAACAGTGCGGAATAACATCTTTGCGTCCGCTACAATTACGCATCCGATGATGTATCACTGAAATCTCCCTTCAGACCAATAATTTTGGTATTGCGATATTATCTTGACCTAGTTTCGTCCGTAAATATTCGTTTTATCTTTTTTGTTCGAATGGTGATGAATAGGAAAGGTAAATAGAAGACGGAATCATAGATAAAACGGCCATGTATTTAGGCGAAATACAAAATTTCTCCATCAAATTTATCCATCATATATAAAAACGATACGTTGATTTCGGTAATGTTTGACATAAAACATGTGCGCGCGAAACATTATCGATAGACTTTCACATCTGTAATGCGCTGTAACAAGAAATATTGTATATAGATGTAGATATACATATATTTATATATAATATATATATTAAAAACATTCATAAAAAATATCATCTTTCGTAACGTCGCGATCAGAAGACTACATTGTTTTGTGCGCGTTTCCGTTGCTAACCGCATCGGAAAGATCAGTCTCGGTCTTCGCAGCCGACCGCTTGTGCGTCTTTCGCGACAGTCCCAAGCGGGGCGGAAGTAATATTGCGACCAAACCCAATAAATGCGGGAGCAGGTACAAGTACCTAACAACAAAGACAAATGCGTTAATAAAAGGCTGGAATTAGGAAATCTTTACAAGTTTTAGATTTTTTTCCATATCAAAGATTACATGCACAATCATTGACTTTAATAATGACTTACAGGTACACTTTGACGCTTGGCACGAACTCCAACAGTACGAAGCTGAACGTCATATAGGCCATTACAATCCTCGTCGTTATGATTGTTAATATATCATAAAGGAACTTCTTTCGTTGAGAATCAAGAAACAATGGCCGGATATGACGACGGATCTGTCAAGAGCGTAAATAAAAATTAGCGATCTGACTTATTCATAATTTGTAGACCGAAGCGTATGGTTATACTAACAGAGCGCGCCGCAACAGTGAAGAATGCTCCGCTCGCAAACGTGAGGTAATAGCCGGGATAGAAACCATGCCAGACAGCGGAAAGAGTGTATGTGTAGAGAATTTTGTTGCGGCCACTTCGTTCGTACATGATCGATCGAAGCCACAAATTTGTGCCCTTGTTCCAGCTGTCGATGCTATCTCTAAGATTAACCGACGTCTGAAAATCGAAGCGTGATTTCAGATAAGTCCCGCTACGTTGACAGCCAATAGTGCTTTGAAATTTTTTTCTCTACTATTTTTGTTCACTTGTAAACGGCAAATATATTGTACCTCAAATTTCCAAACGTCGACATTAGATATTAAATCCCAATTCGCGTTGCCACGCTCGTCGTAACCGTTGAATCCGAGACCGGAACTGTTGCATATGGCATCGGCGAACAACCACGCGTAATAGTACTTAAAGCGTACGAGCATGGTTGCCACTATTAAGTACCATATTTTGTAAAGCATACTTGTGTTTTTCAGGAAACCGTCCTCTGAAAGAAATATGTATTCTTTTAATCAAAAAGAGAGAGAGAGAGAGAGAGAGAGAGAGAGAGAGAGAGAGAGAGAGAGAGAGAGAGAG